CAGGCGCGCCGAGATCCAATCTCCAGCCGAGCTTCAGCCGATCTCCAGCCGATCTCCAGCCGATCTCCAGCCGATCTCCAGCCGAGCTCCAGCCGAGCTCCAGCCGAGCTCCAGCCGAGCTCCAGCCGAGATCCAGCCGAGATCCAGCCGATCTCCAGCCGAGCTCCAGCCGAGCTCCAGCCGAGATCCAGCCGAGATCCAGCCGAGATCCACCGGTCGAGGGAGGGCGTGCTGCACCCGAGTAGGACCCCGAGGCGGAGGTACGCACCGCGGCGGCAGTCAAGCTCGCCGCCTTCTCCCGCATGCTCGCGCCGGAGCTCGTCGTCAGCCAGATTCTGCCGGCGGTGGCGGAGCTGTGCAGCGACGGGTCGCAGCACGTCCGCGCGTCTCTCGCGTCGGACATCATGGGCCTCGCGCCGCTGGTCGGCAAGGGCGCGACCATCGAGACGCTGCTCCCGCTCTTCCTGCAGCTGCTCAAAGACGAGTTCCCCGAGGCGGCGCCGCCGCATCCCGCCCGCTCCCGCCCGCGCAGCGCCGTGAGCCGCCTCGGCCTGCCGCCGCCAGGTGCGCCTCAACCTGATCGGCGCGCTGCCCGCGGTCAACGCCCTGCTCGGCGTCGAGCTGCTCGCGACGGCGCTGCTGCCCGCCATCGAAGAGCTCGCCGAGGACCGGCAGTGGCGCGTGCGCCTCGCGGTGGTCGACTGCATGCCTCCGCTCGCCGCGCAGCTGGGCGTCGCCTTCTTCGAGGAGAAGCTCTGCGCGATGTGCGTGCGCTGGCTCCAGGACTGTGTCTACACGATCCGCGAGTCCGCCATTGCCAACGTGCGTAAGCTGACCGAGCTGTTTGGGCTCGAGTGGGCGGCGGCTCACCTTATCCCTAAGGCGACACGCACACGCACACCCACACCCACACCACACCACACCCACCCACCCCACACCGGTTGCACGTCGTAGGTGATGGCGACGCGGCAGTCGTCAAACTACCTTTTCCGGCTCACGGCACGCGCCTCCCGCCCCCTCGACCCGCCCTCCCGCCACCCTGCCCGCCACAGCGAGGGCGCAGCGCGGCGCGTCTCACCACTCCTCGTGGCCGCCGCCGCAGGCTCTCTCGACCGTATCGTCGCTCGCGACCGTCGTCGGCAGCGACGTGCTCTACGGCTCGCTGCTGCCGGCGGTGCTCGGCATGGTCAGCGACGCGGTGCCCAACGTCCGCTTCAACGTCGCCAAGACGCTGCAGATGCTGGTGCCGCTGCTCGAGCCGGGCCTCGTCGCGTCGCAGGTCAAGCCGAAACTCCTCGAGCTCAGCGAGGATCATGACAAGGACGTGCAGTACTTTGCGCAGAGGGCGCTTGCATGTTGCGGCTGACGGCCTGACCGCCGTCAGAGCGCTATGTGGATTTAGACGAGCTGCTCCTGACATATAGACGGTAGTAGCCAATTGCTAATTGCTAATAGATATGTGTCTAAGTATCATCGATCGCTCCGCCGCGCCGGCGGCGGGTGTGGCGCTGGGCGCGCCCGCATTTTTCCGACCCGTGTGTCGAGACCTTGTCGACGTGTTGACACTTCTCACTTGTCGACAGGCCGAGAGACCGACACGCTGGGGACTGCAGAGATCTCTGGCAGAGTGCAGTAACACACGGCGCTAACGTGTACTGTCTTACTGAGTACTGACTACTGTGTATGTACACACACACAATCATGTGCCTCTTTAATTACAAAATATTGTAGTTTGTACTACATAGCTCGCCGCTAGCACGCGGATCGTGGTCAGAGAGAGGGCACTTGCGCTTCGATTTCTTGCGCAGCCCAAACATGTGCCGTGTCCAGTGATGGTTGTGTACAGTGCCCCGAACCGTATCCGCATACCGCAACTCGCCCGCTCGCTACGCGCCTGCGCCGCACACGACCAGGCACCGACAGGCCCATCGGCGCGTGTGCCAGAGCCGCTCTCGCCCACTAGGACGGCACTAGGACGGCTCGCGCACGTGGACGGTGTCGTCGATGAAGGGCGACTTCTTCTTGTACACAAACATCTGGCGAGGCGCAAAAGGGTCCATTGACGTGGCGGAGACGCCGAGGTCGGCGAGGGTGCCAGTGCCAGTCGGCTCATTCGCAAGGATGGTGTCCACCGCTTCGAGCTTGACCTTGGCGGGGAGGAGGCGGGGGTTGGGGGGTGGGGGTGGGGTCGGGGAGGGGGGGGGGGGGCTAGAGGAACCGAGGGGGCTGGGTGGCTAAATTGGGCGGCACTGGTGCCGCCGCGAGGGCGAGAGGCGAGTCCCGTGGCGGCGGGGCGCGGGCGCGTGCGGGGCCCTCTGTGGGGCCCAGGGGCGGGGCGGGGCGGGGCGGGGCGGGGCGGGGCGGGGCGGGGCGGGGCGGGGCAGAGGAGCGCGCCAGGTCGGGCCACATCCAAGGATCAGGCAGCATCGCAGTGGCGCTCGCGGCGGCGATCGCGGCCGCCTTTGGCACGGAGATCGCGGTCGACTCGTCTCCGATGCCTACGCGGCGCTAGGGCTGTGAAGAGGCAGCTTCTTCACAGCGGCTCCTCGCTCCTCTGGTGTGCCGTCGAAGACGATCTGCGCGAGCTCGGCCTGGGTGTAGATGCCAGGCCCGGCGAGCGAGTACGTCTTACCCGCCGTCGACGGGTCGCACACCGCCGACACGACCGCCTTCGCCACGTCGTCGACAAAGACGGGCTGCGCGCGCGCCTGCAGGAAGGCTCCGAGAAGGTTCAGGGGAGGGGCCGAGGTCTCCGCGGAGCTGGCTGCGATTTGCGTGCCCCGCCGCCGTCGACGAGGGGGAAGGCGGGGAGGTGGCGGCAGAGCTTGGCCTTGGAGTTGAGGAAGGTCTTGTCCTCCTCGCCAAAGCACGTCGCTGGCCGCAGCACCGTCGCCAGAGGGAAGGCGTCCTTGACGGCCGCCTCGCCCAGCGCCTTGCTTCTCAGCCAGCCACAGTCGACGTCGGTCGCCGCGCCGAGAGCGGAGAGGTGGATGAGGCGGCCGACGCCGTGGTCGGTGCACACCTCCCCCAGCACCGCGGGGAAGGTCACATTCACGTCCTGGTAGGACCACCGCCTGCGGCGCGAGGGGCTGGGGGTGCAGGGCGCGCGAGCGCTGGAGAGCGCGGGGCGGGTGGATCCTCGGCCGCAAGCGCGGCGGCGGCGGCTAGGGCTGCGCCGGCGGCGCGTCCAGCCACGCGGGCGCCGGGGAGGGGCGCCGGCGGCGCGCGCGCACTTGGTCTCGCTCTTGAGGCCAATCAGGTTAATGACGACGTCGCTCCCCGCCACGACCTTCTCGACATCCTCGAGCCGACGGATGGAATACTTGACGAAGGAGATGGCGCCGAGGTCCGCCATCGGCTTGAGGTGGCGCATGTACAGCTCGTCGCCACGGTAGGGCAGCACCATCTGGCAGCCAACGGCGCCGAGCCGCGACGTGACGTACCGCCCCATGAAGCCGCCGGCGCCGAGGATCGTGATGCGGTGGCCGGAGAAGGAGGACCTGCCCTGCTTCATCGCCCCGCGGGTGCTGAGCACCGCAGCCGGGAGGGTCGCCATGATCGGCGACTCTTACCAGAAAATCCTCGGCTGCTGCAAGCAAGCAGCGGGCAGAGCAGCGCACCGAAGAAAAGAAGAAGCAGCAGCGTTGAACAAGCGGAGCGACGAAAAGAAACAAACCGCCCTGCGGTAGGACTTTGCGCGCCCGGATGGCATTCTGGGCGGCCCTTAGCACCCTGTTGTGAAAAGAAACCGATGAATCGAGCCTGCCGGTGCTGCTGTTTGCGCGCTCGTCTGCGGGGCTCCGAACCGCTCCGGGCCCACATACACAATATGCCACGCCTCCTCCTCCTCCTCGTATTCACTCTAGGCCCAGCAGATGCCTTCGAGGCCTCAAAGTTCCGCACCTGCTCGCAGTCGCACTTTTGTTCGGACTTCAGCCCGACGGCCGCGCCGCTGCCTCCCTCTCTCTCTCTCTCTTCCATGACGCGGACAGCGACCGGCGTGCGAGCCGTGGCCGGATACAGAGGCGAGGGCGGCAGCGCAGTGGTGTCGTTCGAGCTGCTCGTCGAGCCGCTCCGCACGGCGGCCGCTGCCGAGGCTCCAGCGTGGCGCGTGCGCCTGCTCGGCGGCGCCAACTCGTTCCTCGCCGCCTCACACCTCTCGCTCGCCGCGCTGAATCCGGACACCAGCGCCGACGTGGCGCTGTCGTTTGAGATGGAGGCGGTCCCCGGGCCGGAAGGCGCCGGCGCACCGGCGGCGCACGTGCTGCGTGCCCGGAGCGGCCGCTGGGTGAGTGAGCTCGAGCTCCTCTCGGCGCCGCTGCAGGCGCAGCTGCGCGTATACGAGGCGGGCTTCGCTCGGCCGGCCGCGCCGGTGGCGGTGCTCAACGGGCGTGGGATGCTCCGCTTTGCGGCGGGTGAGCGACGCTGGCCGCAGAGCGCCGACGCCGCCTGGCGCCGCCGCTGCGACGGTGGCCCCGCGCGGTTTGGCGACTCGGCGGCCGACTCGCGCCCCGCCGGCTGCACGGCCCTCGGCGCCGACGTCGCCTTTCCGGCGGCGGAGCAGGTGTACGGGCTTCCGGAGCGGGTGGCACCGCTCGCGCTCCCGATGACGGCGCGCTTGCGCGCCTTCTCCGCCGCCTTGACGCGGCAGCGAGAGCCGTACCGCCTCTTCAACCTCGACGTCTTCCGGTACGACCGCAGCACCGGCGACCGGCCTGCGGCGCTCGCTGGCGTGCCTTCGAGCGCACGCCCGCGACACGCGCATGGCGTGGCCCGTAGGCGTCGGCCTGTACGGCTCGCTGCCGTTCCTCCTCGCGCACGGCGGCGGGGCGGGCGGCGGCGGGGCGGGCGGCAGTGCCGGCGTGCTCTGGCTCAGCGCGGCCGACACGTACGTCGACCTCTGGCGCGGCGGCGGCGGCGGCGTGGTTTCTCATTGGCTGAGCGAGGGCGGCGGGATGGACGTGGTGCTGCTCGGCGGACCGGGCGACGAAGACGTGGTTCGCCAGCTGGGCGCCCTGACTGGGACGCCTCCGCTGCCGCCGCTGTGGTCTCTCGGGTACCACCAGTCGCACTGGAACGTCAAGAGCCAGCCGCAGCTTGAGGGGATCGACGCCAACGCCGACCGGCTCGGCTGGCCCCTGGACGGCCTCTGGCTCGACATCGAGCACGCGCAGGCCAAGCGCTACTTCACGTGGGACGGCGCCGCCTTCCCCGACCCGCGAGGGATGGCGGCGGCCATCGAGCCAAAGGGGCGGAGGCTCGTCGCCATCGCCGACCCGCACTTGCGCGCAGCGCCGGAGTACGATATCTACGCGGCCGCCGCCAACGCGTCCCTTCTGGTGCGGCCGCCGCCGAGTCGTGGAGGCGGCGACGCAGGCAGAAGCGGAGGCGGCGACGGCGAGGGGGGCGGCGAGGGGGGCCTCGTCGGCGGCGCCGCTTTCGAGGGCGAGTGTTGGCCGGGCGTCTCTTCTTGGGTCGACTTTTTGCAGCCGCGCGCGCAGCAGTGGTGGGCGCAGCTCTACTCGGGTGCGGGCGAGGGCCGCCCTCGGAGGTGGCCCTCGTGGCTGCACGCCTGGAACGACATGAACGAGCCGTCCGTCTTCTCGGGCGCCGAGCTCACGCTGCCGCGCGACGCTCTGCACGTGGTCCAAGGCGCGCCGGCTCCCTCGCCGTCGTCGGTCGAGGTGGGCGCCGGCGCAGCTGACGCGTCCACGACACGTCCATGACACGTCCACGGCACGTCCCCCCCAGGTGGAGCACCGGCTAGTGCACAACCTGTACGGCGCGCTGCAGGCTGCCGCCACCTTCGCCGGCCTCTCTGCGCGGGCGGGCCTCCCATCCGGCGGGGAGAGGCCCTTCCTCCTCTCGCGCAGCTTCTTCGTCGGCTCGCAGCGACACGGCGCCGTGTGGACGGGCGACAACACCGCCAGCTGGGACCAGCTCCGCCTCTCCGTGCAGATGGTCCTCGCCCTTGGCGCGCCGCGCCGCCCGTCCCTTCCCGAACCCGCGCGTGCCCGGTTGTGCCACCCAGGACCCCCCCCCCCCCCCCTCCTCACTTCTCGCCCCCGCCGCGAGCGCAGGCGTCTCGGGGCTTCCCTTCACCGGCGCAGACGTGGGCGGCTTCTTTGGCACGCCTCCGCCCGAGCTGCTGCTGCGCTGGCACCGGTCGGCACCTCAGCTCGTCGCCTCAAACTCTCCCGATACCTTCTAGGAGCCCTTCCGTAGGTACCAGTCAGCGTCGCACTTGCCTTTCTTCCGCAGCCATGCACACGTCGACTCGCCACGGCGCGAGCCGTGGCTGCTGCCGCAGCCGCACGCGGCGCACGCGCTCGAGGCGTTGCGCGAGAGGCAGCGCTTGCTCCCCTTTTGGTACACGCTCTGCTGGGACGCCGCCTCTGGCGCTCTGCCGTCTGCCGAGGGCTTGCCCCTCGTGCGGCCGCTCTGGCTCGGATCGGGCGGCGGAGGGTCGCCGCCCGCCTCGCCGGCGGGCGCGGGGAAGCCCGTCCCGCGGAGCGCGCTGCTGCTGGCGGACACCGCCTTCACCGTCGGCGCCGATCTGCTCGTGTTTCCGGTTGCGACCAAGGGCGCGAGCAACGTCGAGGTGCCGCTGCCGGTGCACGGTTGCGGCGGTGCGCCGTGTGAGTGGTTCTCCGTCTCGTCGGGCGCGAGGCTGCGCGGCGGCTTCTGGCACAGCGAGCCAGTCGGACTCGGGTCGATGCCTCGCTACCAGCGCGGCGGGTCCATCTTGCCACGGCGCGAGCGGGTACGCCGCTCCGCGCTGCTGGCCGTGTGGGACCCGATCTCTCTGCACGCCGCTCTCGACGCGGCCGGGCATGCGGCCGGCCGGCTGTACCTCGACGACGGCGTCACGGCGCGCTTGCCCGCCGCCCTCCACGAGCACCAGCAAAGCGGCGGTTTGCTGGAGGCGGCGCGAGCCGGGGCGGCTACCGCGCCAGAGAGTGAGCTAGAAGGCGCGCCGCCGCAGCACGCTGCCCGCTCCGCCGGCGCCGGCGTCGGCGCTCTGCTGCTGTTCAACGTGACGTGCGAGGAGAAGCGGAGTGCCCAGAGCACCGACGGCGGAGGAGGTGGCCACGTCGTCCGCTGCATCCTCTCGTCGCGGCCGACCCGCCCGCTGGCGCTCGGAGAGTCGGTTGGGCCGCTCCCCGCGTCGGTCTATGTGGAGCGGGTCTTGCTGCGCGGTCTCTCGCCGCTCGTCGTCGACCAGTCGACCCGGCTCGCCGATTGGCTTCCCTCCTCACTCGCCCCCGGTTCGGGCAAGAGGCCGACGGCCAGCGTCGGAGGCGCCGCGCCGCGGCCGCTGGGCGGCAAGGTGGAGGCCACGCCCCACGGGTTGCTGCTGGAGCGGCTGCACTTGCCGTGCGATGAGGCGTGGGACATAGAGGTGCCGGGGGCCGTGCTTGATGGATAGGCGCGCGGACCGGGCTTGGTGAGCCGCGTGGCGGTGGGGCCGGCCGCCGGGTGGTGTTTGTCGGGCGGGGTGGCTTGCGCGCGCGTCCGATCGAAGCTGTTCATGAAAGACCAAAATAAAAGTTCCAGAGCGAGTGACGGATAAAGTCGTGTGAACGAGCTGTGAAAGCCAAAGTATTGCCCGCCGCAGGCGAAGAAATTTTTCAGGGTTTTTGGTCCCCTATACGCCGAAGAAATCGAAGATTTTGGCGGGCGCCCGACGCGGTATGGAGCACGCGCGCTGCCCGGCATGCCTGCAGCATCCAAACGAGACGCACGGCGTCGCTCAGCCGTGTCCACGCGGCTTCGCTCCTGTCCTAACCGGCGCCATCTGGGCGGCTGCTGCGGAGCTGCTGCCGGCGGTGCGGCAACTGGCCGACAGATACGACGCTCAGGGCACCCGCCGGCGATTCACTGGAAAGGAACGAAGGCGCCGCTGTCGGCGATTCACCGCCGTTCGTTCCCGTCTCTCAAGCTGGCTACACCGTCCATGGACGAGGGAGACGTCGCCTCCTCTTTCGTCCCGGGCACTGTTCGCGCCGGAAGGCACCGTACACTGCGAAGTACATTAACCTTCATCCCTCCTACCGCCGGCCGGGAGTGCAGCCTTCGCCATCGCTGAGTGAGATTATCCTCGACTTTGGCACCTGCGAAGTAATGAACAACATGCAGTACGTCATATGCAATGGCGCTATGACAGCCCTGCGATGGGCGTCCTCGATGCAGACGAGGCGGAGCTCATCTGCGCGGCGCAGATCGCCGACTTTCTCTCTCTCCCTGCGCGAGTGGTTGCGCCACCGTGGATGAGGCATATGGGCTGGGCAGGGGAGTTGGTAGAGGAGGTCGACTGAGGGCGCGAGGCCGCCAATCGTCACAGTCTGCTGCTGACTATCGGTCGCTGACTGGTTGAGCGCATCGCGCTGGCCGCGCAGCGGCCTTTAGAAAATTTTGGCCGCAGGCCTAGGTTTTGAAAGATCAAGAGAATAAGCGCCGGTGAGTCTTTCAGAAGCTGCCGTTTGCGGCTTCCTAAGTCAATTTTTTGAGAGGAACGTTTTGGCTGAGCTCTAACGGCCCTCCAGAGAGTCGCGCGATCATCGAGTTTTGACGAAGTCACGGATGAGCAGCCGAATGGCGAGGAGGCGCCAGCATACCACCCAAAGGGAGAGGAGGGGTTGCCGGTGCAGGGCGAGACCCGGAGCAGTCCAGCCTCGATTTTGATGCGCGGGCTCGGCAGCGATGACGGCGAAAAAGTGACGGCGGAGGACGACCGCAATCTGCTTGGCGACCCGTCTGTGGCGGGAGCATCAACGGCGCTCGCAGGAGGTGGAGGCGACAAGGGCGTCGGGAGTTCGCCCAAGTATCAGGAGTTCCTATCTAGATATTCGCCCTTGCTGACACATCGTATGGCCGGAGACTCGGCTCGGCTACTGGACGGCCTCGGCGATGCCGTTCGCGCGGTGCTCGCGCACAAGAACAGCTTGACTGACGAAGAGTGGCTCGTCGCGCTTGCGCACGTTGAAGCCATCCGCTGCAGCAGGGCGGCGGCGGGGATAGAGCTCGAGGACGACACTCCGCAGTGGCTTGTGGAAGCGGCGATGAAGATGACGCTGGTGGAGCCGGAGGAGGAGTCGCGGCCCGCCTTCTCAGAGTCGGACTGCCGGCGCGCTGGCTGGTGTTGTGGGGATTCTTAAATTCTGTACCTCGAGGTATACAAAGATGCATGCTGAGCTCGGGCCCGGCACTGCCAAAATAAGTACAGTATGCGCCCCCATGCTTGTCGGGCCGCGGCCGTGGGATTCGGGTAATGTGGACGATGCTCGAGATCTGAAAACACACGCGCCCCGTGTGTGTGACCCCGGGTCGTAGTGTTGCAGTTCCGGTTGTGCATCAGGACAGCTTTTGCACGACGCGCCGCTGCCACCGGACAGGAGTCGGCGAGATGATGCAAATGCCGGCAGACGCCGCGCCGACGAGGCCGAACCCAGGCAGCACCATTCGAGAGCCAGGGAGGAAGGATGAACTGCGAACTGACCGCGAATGGTATTGTTTATTGATCAACACTTTCGATAGACCGAAAGTAAGATCGTTCGGTGCAGAAACCCCGGCCATGCCCATGTAACGCAATTGTGCTCGATTTTTTTGATTTTTTGGTCGAGATGTGTCTCCAAGTCTTCTGGACCCATCGATGGCCGTCGCCTCGACGCCGCTCGTCGCGGCACCATCGTGCCCGGCCTGGGCGAAGCATCGTCGCGGGCGCCAGCCGCAGTTCGACGGCAAGCCGTGCGAGCCTGCCGAGGAGGAGGACATGTGGCTGTGCCTGGCCGACGGCCGCGCGCGCAGCACCGCCGACCTGAAGCGCCTGGCGACAGCCGCTCGGGTGCGAGCGAAACGAGCAGGAGATGCAGCCGCCGCGAACACGCGCGATCGGCAGGCGCGCGACCAGCGCCGCCGGCAGCGTGAGCAGCACGACCGGCGCGCAGCGCCGGCGGTCGCCAAGACCGTGCGCCCACAACGCGGCCAGTGCGGCTGCCCGGCGCACGCGGTGTGCGGCATGTGCGTCGACCAGGGCAAGCTCGCCGCGGCCGAGCAGGCGGCCATCGACCTGGAGACGCGCTTCCACGCCTCGACGAACGTCGTCATGGACCTGGAGCGGCCCGAGGACGAGACGGCGGCGCTGCTGCAGCGCTGCGTGCACGTCTCCGACGAGACGAAGCGGCGGCTGCTGGGCGAGTGGAGCGACGAGCGCATGGCGCACGCGCTGCCGCTGCACGCATGCGCCTCGTGCGGCGTGCGGGACCCGTCGCTGACGTACACGCGGGTTGACGTGTCGGCGCTGCCGCGTACTGTGTCTGTGCGCGTAGCCGGCGGCGAAGACGAGACGCGGCACGTGTTTGAGCTCTCGCCCGAGCAGTGCGCTAAGTATCGAGGTCTTCAAAACAAAAAGGTGAAATTTAGAAAAGGAGTTGCGGTGTTGATCGCCGCGGGAGCCCTCTTATTGTCGCTGGTGCCAGTCGTCGTGCGAACTTTTTTCTTTCACCCTCGAATTCTTCCCATCGTGGCCCAAAAAAAAAGTTGTCTGCTGTGCCTTTTGTGGTGCTAGTTCGTGCCAGTCTGCTGTGAGAGGGGCTTGTCTTCGTAGAATTCTTCCATTGGAGCCTTTCGCGGGTTGTAAGCCGTGTGTACGTGGTGTGTGTATATGCTGCACGACGTCGCCCACACATCCGCGTCGCTCCCGCCTCACGAGGTGCGCGCGTCGCCCGCGACGCTGGCTGCGCTGGGCGTTGACTGCTATGCGCCGGACCTGCTCGTCGCTGGTGCGCTTCCGTGCTGGGCGGCGCCCGAGGCTGGCCTGCCGCCGGGTGCAGTCGCGCTTCCCGCCTGGATGTGCGATGCGGTGGGCGTGCACTCCGGCGGACAGGTGCATGTCGGAACGCGTAGCGGCGGGAGCGCCCGTCTCGCGCGCATTGACCTCGACGTACTCGACTCTTTGGCGGGGGATGCACTGCCGGCCTCTGGCAATGTGGTGGCCGCAGCCCTGCGACGTCAGCTACCGGGCCTGAGGCCTGGCGTCGGCGACCTCATCGCTGTGCGACTCCTCAGTGGCGTGGTCGCGCTGCGCGTTCGAGCGCTCGAGGCGGGAGCCGAGCCTGCGGGCACCGCGGCGAGCAGCGGAGGCACTGTGGGTGCGGTTGACGCGGAGACTCTGATCTCACTGCGGCCAGCGGCGGCGGCGGCGGCGGCGGGCAGGCCCGAGACGCCATTTGCGACGTCGTTGGAGGCGGTTGCGTCGTCGGGTGCAGCGCCCGGTGAGGGCAGAGGCAGCGACGGCGGTGGGGCGCGCGGGAGGGCGGTGGTGGAGCGGATGTGGGCAGAGGTGGAGGCGCGGCTGCCGCCCGCGAAGAGGGCAGAGGGAGAGGAGGAGCGCGCGATGCGCGCCCACGCCGCGCGCGGTCGTCACCTCCTGCTCACCGGCCCGCCAGGAGCTGGCAAGGGGCGCGCGCTGCGCGCGCTGTGCCGGCGGGCGGCGGCGCACGGCGCGCACGTCGTCTCGCTCTCGTGCCTGCGGCTGGTCGGCGACACTGTCGAGCTGGAGGCGGCGCTCGACGAAGCGTTTGCCAACGTCGCGCCGCGCGAGGCCGCCGCCGCCGCGCCGCCGGCGCCGCCGCCGCCGCTGGGAGGGCCGGAGGAGTACGTGGAGGTGCCTCTGCTCTTCGCTCCACGGCAGGGCGAGGCGGCGCAGGGGGGCGAGGCGGCGTCGGAGGGCGGCGGTCGAGCCGCAGGTGCCGAGGCTGCGGCGCGCGGCGGCGACGAAGACGCGCCGCTCCGCCTCCTCCTCCTCGACGGCCTCGATGCGCTCAGCCTCGCCGAGCCGTCTCGGAGCGGTTCCGTCGACGATGAGCGGCTCGGCTTTGCCGCGGCGCGGCTGGTGGCGCGGCTGCGCGATGCTGCGGAGCGGCCGCTGCTGGCGGTGGGCGCCGCGACAGACCCACGCAGGCTGCCGCCCGCCCTCCTCTCCAACGACGGCGGCTTCAGCGCGCCCTTCTTCCTTGGCCCTCCCGGCCGCGACGAGCGCACAGAGATGCTCCGTTTGCTGCTCGCGCCGCCCGCCCCTCTGCCGGGCGAAGAGGCGTCGGGCGAGGCGGCGGACGCGGCGGCACTGGCTGCCCGGCTGAGCTGCCGCACCGCCGGGCGCGGCCCGCGCGAGTTGGGCCGTTTGGTGGCCCTCGCCCGCATCTTTGCCACCTCTCGAAGGCTGCGGGCGGCGTCGGCCGCCGCCGAGGAGAGGGGCGAGGCAGGCGGCGGCAACGAGGCGACGGCTGCTGCGGCCCTCTCTCGCCCGGCTGCGGGGTGGGAGCGCCTCCCTCCGTGCTGGGAGGATTGCTCCCGCGCGTGGGCAGCTTGGTCCGCCTCGTTGGCGGGCACGGCAGGCGCGGGATTCAGCGCGGGCGCGCCGCACGTGGGCGGCGCCGAGGTTGGCGGTTACTCGGCGCTGCGCGAGCGGCTGCACCGACTCATCACGTGGCCGGCCGAGCGGCCCGACGCGTACGCACGGCTCGGCATCGCTCCTCCGGGCGGCGCGCTCCTACTCGGCCCGCCCGGCAACGGCAAGACGCTTCTCGCGCATGCGGCGGCCACCGCATCGGGGTGCACCGTGCTGAGCGCCAAGGGGCCGGCGCTCTTTGGGGAGTACGTGGGCGACACCGAGGCTGCCATCCGAGAGCTCTTCCGGCAGGCGCGCGAGTGCGCGCCTTCGCTTGTCGTGATCGACGAGATCGACACGCTCGGCGCGCGGCGCGGCGGCGACGCGGGGGGCGGCGAGGGCGAGGGCGAGGGCGGTACGGCGGTGGCGCGGCGCGCGCTGTCGGCGCTGCTCAACGAGCTCGACGGCCTGAGCGGCCGTGCGGGTGTCTTCCTCCTCGGATGCACGAGCCAGCCGGAGGCGCTCGACGCGGCGCTGCTCCGGCCGGGCCGCCTCGACGAGTTGCTGCTGGTGGGCCACCCGGACGAGGCGGACCGGCGGGCCATCCTCGCCGTCCACTGCGCCCGGCTGCGGCTCGACGCCGACGTCGACCTCGCAGCCCTCGCGCGCCGCACGTGCCGTTTCTCGTGCGCCGCGCTCTCGGCCCTCTGCCGCGAGGCGGCGGTGGCGATGCTCGGCCGCGGTTTTGGTGGCACGACGCACCGCGCTGCGTGCGTCGAGGGCGAGGGCGAGGGCGAGGGCGAGGGCGAGGGCGAGGGCGAGGGTGAGGACGAGAGTGGCGAGGGTGGGGGGCTCGACGACGCTATGGCGGCGGAGGTCGGCGAGTTCTGTGTGGCGGCGGCGGACTTTGAGAGCGCGCTGGAGGTGATCTGCGCGGCGCAGGTGCTGCCGGCCGGGGCGCACGAGGAGCTCACCAAACGCTACGACGCCTTCCTGCAGAAACGTCGACGCCCGTGACCCGGCTGTCTGCTGTCCATTATTTAACCCTTCACGGGTGACAGCACGCAGTTTTGCCGATGTTAAACCTTTCGGGGCTTGCTCGCTCTGTTGAAAAAAAGAAAAATCCGCGCGAGAGCACATCGTGCTGCCCTTGCCTTCCGCTCGTTCCGAGATGCTGTGTAGGCACGTTCGTAGAACAGCCGTCGCCGCGGGCAGAAGAGCGCTGTCGTCGGCACCGCCCATTCCGCCGAACGAGCTGCGGCTGCTACAGCAGGTCTCGCGGCTCGAGAGCCGCGTGCACGAGCTCGAGGAGGCGCTGCCAGCGCGAGTGCAGCCGGCGCGGATCACAAACTGGGATGAGCTCGGGTTCGGGATCACGCCGACGAACGGCCACGTGCGCTACACCTGGTCGGCCAAGACCTCGGCGTGGGATGCCGGCCGCTTCATCACGGACCCATACATCAACCTGCACGTGCATGCGGGCGTCCTGCACTATGGCATGACGCTCTTCGAGGGGTGCAAGGCGTTTCGCTGCAAGGACGGCAAGGTGCGCGTGTGTAACCTCGGTGCGAACGCGGCGCGGCTACAGCGCGGCGCCAACCGCCTCGTCATGGCGCCGGTGCCGTCGAAGCTCTTTGTTGAGGCGGTGCACTGGGCGGTGCGCGCAAACGCGGAGTACGTGCCTCCGTACGGCTCGGGCGGCTCGCTCTACATCCGGCCGTTCCTGATCGGCTCGTCGCCCGTCCTCGGGCTGCAGCCCTGCTCCGAGTTCTCCTTCCTCGTCTCGGTCATCCCGGTGGGCAACTACTTTGGGAAGGGCCCGATCCAGGGGATCGACGCCAAGATCATGACCGAGTTCGACCGCGCGGCGCCAAAGGGGACGGGCGACGTCAAGGCGGGGGGCAACTACGCGGCCGACCTGCTGCCGCTCAAGCACGCCAAGAGCGAGGGCTACGGCACCACCCTCTACCTCGACTCGAGCGAGCACAAGTACGTCGAGGAGTTTTCCGTCTCCAACCTGCTCGGCATTGACAAAGACGGAAAGTACGTCACGCCGCGCACGAGCTCGATCCTGCCCTCCATCACGAACGAGATGCTCATGGCGATCGCCGAGGATCGGGGCATCCCCGTCGAGCAGCGCCCGCTCGAGTGGGGCGAGCTCAAGACCTTCAGCGAGGTTGGCGCGTGCGGCACCGCCACCGTCGTCGCGCCGATCCGGTCCATCACCGACGTCGAGCGCAAGTACGAGTTCGGCGGCTTCGAGACGCTCAACCAGCTGCGCGAGGGGCTGCAGTCGGTGCAGCACGGCGAGGCGGAGGACAAGTGGGGCTGGATGGTGGAGGTGGCGTGCTGATCCTGATGCCGTCTCGACAGGCGGGTGGTGGCGCTCTTGTTTCATATCTCTATCGCCGGGCTCCCGGGGCGAGCACGGGGCAGCGCTGCCCGGCTCGGGCATGCCGATCGTTCCGCATCGATCCGATCGATTCGTACGGAGTTATTCGTCACCGGTTATTTCCGGTCGTTTCGTGTTATCTTTATACCTTAAGGTATAGTGTGAGTCTCACATGGTTGATGGACATTCATGTTCACACTTCTTCTGAACTCGCCCGGCCACTAGCACTTGACTTAGCACACTTGCACGTTGCACACTTCGACTTCCCCGCCGCGGCTCCCGCAGAGACATTTGAAGACAGAGTCACTCGCGTGTGCACACACCCACACACACAGGTGAGGAGGTGTCACATAAGTGGACACAGCAGACACAGCGCACAGCGCAGCACCCGACCGTCACACACTTGCGACTTGGCCCGACCCGCCAACCCACGACACGCTCACGGCAACGCACGATCGCACGTCTTGTCTCTTGACTGTCTCCAAAATCACTAAAACTCGAGCTAACGCGAGAGGGGGGGGGGGGCGGGGGGGGAGTACGCTCACCGGCCTCATACCGCTCTCCATATCTCCACGGATTTGGACACTGGTGCCTGGAGCCAGCCTGTCTCGAGCACCCCGGCGTGAAGCGCTCGTTGACATCGAGAGCAATTGGCACCGATTACCACGGCTACTTGAGTGTATCGCCGGGTAGCTTGGCGAAGCGAGGCGGCCGGCGCCGGCCCCGGAGGCGGCTGCAGTAAGAGCAGCGAGGCAGAAGTTCGTCCAAGGCGTATTGAGCAGGCTGCCATCGAGCAGCGCGCCATGCGGGCCTGCCGCCGGCGACGCGATTGGAGAGCCAGCAGGCCTCGCAGAGGTAGGTGCTGAGGAGGGCCATCGCGAGGCGGTCCGCGCCGGCCCTGCAGGCCGTCACAGAGAGCCTGGCGAGGCTGTACAGAATGCCGAGAGCATACTGAGCAGGCTGCCGTCGAGCGACGAGCCATGCTGGCTCGTCGCAGGCGATGAGGTCGAGAAGCCGATCGGAGCGTCGCAGAGGCTGCCGACCACTGCCGTTCGCCCTCGGTCGGGACCAGGGGTGGAAGGCAAGCTTCCTGGCGTTTCTGGCGAGCGTCCAGACGTCGCAGAGCATCCGGCAGGCGCGCTGCGACCCAAATTTTTGCTCACCGCACGGCCGTGCGAGCCGTCGGTCGGTGGTAATGGTCGGCGTCGGCGCCGGCGGTGGGCGTCATATACATGTGGCGGCCGTGGGACTAGCCATTGTGCGAATTTCGGACGTCCCTCGTCTGGGCACTGGGGTGTAGAAGCAGTACTTGCCCCAACTAAAAGAAAATTTTCCCCACGGATGAAAAAAACAGACTAGGTCGAAGACAGCGCACAACAGAGACAATGGTGTGTCTCACGCCCGCCACTGCCGCCACAGCCCTTTTGCTCACGCTCACGCCGCACTCCCCCGTCCCCGCAGCGCAAGGCACCGGCGCCTCGGCTTGCGCCGGGCCCTGTCAACCTTCCCTCGCTCAAGAAGGAGTATGGCGGCATCGACCCCGACCTGCTGATCGTGCCAAAGGGGCAAGCGGTGTGGGGTGGCAAGAAGGAGGTCGCGGACGACACCACCACCGCTGCCGCTGCAAAGGCGGCAGCGGAGCGCTCGCGCACGGCGGCGCGCGCCGAGGAGGCGAGGAACGCCGCAGAGGCGGCCAAGGTGGCCGAGGAGGAGGCGGCGCGCGCAGTCGAGGAGCTCGCCTCGCGCGCCGCTGCTGCGCGCGAGCGCGCCTCCAAGATTGCGCGCGAGGCGGCTGAGCGGGACAGTCTGCTCAGCTCGCTCGAGCAGGACGGCAAGCGCGACTCGCCTGCATCCAGCGCCACGCGTGACGCGGCTGACGAGCGCTCTTCCGAGCGGCGATCACACGGATGGGCCGACGACCAGGAGGCGGGCGAGATGGACTTTTCGGCGCCCGCGTTTGCGACGCGGCTATCCGGCGCGAGCTACGCCGGGTCCCCTCCCTCCGACGGCGGAAACTCCGAGGGCAAGGCGCCCTCGGAGGAGGGTGAGCCGGCGCCTCCACCGCCGTGCGGCGAGTTTTCCGACGAGAGCCCCGCTGGGCGGGGCGGTCGGAGGAGCCTCTACCAGCGGCTCGAGCTCGTCCGAGCGGAGCTGGAGCTGCCACACGGCATGCCGATGGCGGCGCTGCTGCGGCAAGCCAACGAGGCGATGGGCATGGAGGCGACCGGCTCGCTGCCCGAGCAGGTCGCCGCGCTGCTCGAGGCGATGGGCATCTCAGAGACGGAGGAGGGGGCCTCTCCCCTCCCGCCGCCGCCCAAGCCGATGCAGCCGAGAGGGAGCGGCGCCGATGCGCCGCGGAGGCGCGTGGCGGAGCCGAGCGCGCTCAACGGCTTTGGCGAGCCGCCTCGACTCTCGGGTCTGCCTCCGGAGCCGCCGCCGCCGCCGCCTCAAGTCATGATGCTCACGCGGCCGTCGGCCAACTCGGCGGAGGAGGCGCCCGGCGCCGCGCCTGCGGGCGAGGACGGCGCCGCTGCACCTGCGGGGGCCGCTCCCAATGGGACGGCCAACGGGACGGGGGCGGCCGAGCCGGCGGCGGGCAACAAGCCCGACTTCGCTGCGATGACGCTCGAGGAGAAGGAGGCGTACTACGCTGAGGTGCGCGCCCGCATCATGGGGACGACGGGCGCAAAGAAGGGCGGTCGCGGCGGCGGAGGCAGCGGAGGCCGCGGCGGGCGCGGTGCGCAGGAGGGTTGGAGGCGGGAGGGCGAGGCCAAGGGCGCCGAGGCGAGTGGCGCGGGCAAGGGGCGGGGCGGCAACGGGGGCGGCGGCGGCGGCGGCAAGGGGGGCGGCAGCGGCGGCGGCAAGGGGGGCGGCAGCGGCGGCGGCAACGGGGGCGGCGGCGGCGGCGGCAAGGGGGGCGGCAGCGGCGGCGGCAAGGGGGGCGGCAGCGGCGGCGGCAAGGGGGGCGGCAGCGGCGGCGGCAAGGGGGGCGGCAGCGGCGGCGGCAAGGGCTCCAAGGAGAAGGGCGGCCAGGCGGACGGCAAGGAGAAGGTGGCGAAGCCGGACGGCAAGGAGAAGGACGGCCAGGCGGACGGCAAGGAGAAGGTGGCGAAGCCGGACGGCAAGGAGAAGGTGGCGAAGCCGGACGGCAAGGAGAAGGTGGCGAAGCCGGACGGCAAGGAGAAGGTGGCGAAGCCAGCGAGCGGCAAGGGCGGGCAGCCCGACAAGCCGCGCCCGCCGCAGCCCGAGAAGCAGTCGCGGCAGCAGCAGCCGGCGGATGCGAAGCCGCCACCCAAGCAGAGGACGGCTCAGCCCGCGCGCGCAAAGTCGGACGGGGGCGCCGGCGGCCGAAGGGGCGGCGAAGAGTCGGCCGAAGGGGCGGCGGACGGGGCCCAGGCGGAGGGTAAGCGGCCCCGCGGCGGCCGGGAGCGCGAGAGAGCCAAGCAGGCGGCTGCGGCGGAGCGGGCGGCTGCGGCGGAGCGCGGGGCGGAGGCGGAGTGTGCGGGCCCGCCGGAGGGCGACGCGTCCGACGGTGGCGGCCCCTCCTCGGAGGACGAGGCCGTGCGGCAGGGTGGCGCCACGAGCCGGCCGAGGCAGACGCAGAGGCCGCTAGGCAGGCGCCGCGGCTCCTCCGGCAAGAGCCAGGCGAGCGACAAGGGCGCGATGAGTGCGCCCTCCGATGCCGCGCCGCCGCCAGAGGCGCCTTCCGGAGGACGTGGCGGGCGCGGCAGCCGAGGCGGGAGGGGAGGCAGGAAGGGTGGCCGAGCGAGCAGCGAGTCGCCATCTTGAGCGAAGGCGTCGACGACGGGGCAAATGGTCGATCTTGGGGTCGGTTTCGCCGCCGGCGCTGCGCCCGGAGTCGAGCCTCCCTCCTGCGCCGCCCTCCGCCAGGGCTCCGACTCTCACATTTCAGAGAGGTTCGATGTTCGAATGGAGAGTCGCGTCGTGCTGTAGAGTACCGTAAATCGCGAAAGCCGTGTAAACAGTAAAGCCGTAGGAGCTGAGATGATGTTGTGGCGGGCAGCCGCCAGCCCGGGGCGGGGCACGGCTCGGCCTCGCCCTCGGCTGACGGCTCGGCAACCGGCATATGTGTGTGTGTTGTGAAGCGTGGTATTTTCTCGTCACACACACAGAGAACACGACGGCCACAGAGCGGGAGCCGCTTCTAGCTCCCTGGTCCACGCTATTGTTTGCGCCTCGTGCATCTCCCGCGTCTTTTTTCTCTCTATTCCCCGTGTGTGTGGTTTTCGCGCGGGGCGCCGGGGTCCGTCCCCGCCTCGCCCCTCGCGTGGTACAGCCTCTCTCACAAGTAGTGGTGCACAAGGAAGGTGATGCTCACGGTGGTGATGGCAAAGAGCACCGCCAGCGACTCGGTGCTGAAGCCCGCGGCCGCGAGCAGCAGCCAGCAGCCGCTCTTGAGCGCCGCAAACGCGACGACGGCGACGCCCACGTACAGCGCGTCTTCCGCCATGTGGCCGAAGGTGTAGGGGGCGGGCTTGTCGCGCTGCTTCGAGAAGTGGTCGACGTAGGTCCGCTGCAGCCGCATCCGCGCCTCGTCGGTGGCGGCGGTGCCCGACGCGTGCGCCTCCGCCTCTGGCAGCGGCGGCAGCGGCGGCTGCGCCTCGAGCGCGCGCACAGTGATCTCGCCGACGCCGGTGAAGAGGCGGCTGGGCGGCCAGAGGTCGAAGGCGCCGTGGATAGCGAGCGGGAGGATGGGGGCCTGCATCTGCTGCGAGAGGTGGAAGACCCCCTTCTTGAAGGGAAGCACCAGGTGGCCGTCCTTTGTCCGCGTCCCCTCCGGGGAGACGGCGACCGAGCGGCTCCACCGGCTCATGATGGCGGCCACGCGCTCGTTCATCGTGGCGATCGACTTTTTGGGGTCGCCACGGTTGATGGGCACCTGCCCGAGCGCCAGGCTCATCCACCCGAAGATGGGCACCGCGAAGAGCACCTTTTTGCCGACAAACTTTGGCGCGCGGTGGCCGCCGCACGCGACAAAGAGGATGAAAGGGTCGAGGTTGGAGGCGTGGTTGTAGACGATGACCCCGTGCGGGATTCCGCTCCACCGCCCCGCGCCCTCCCCCTCAACCCGCACGCGCACCCCGGCCGCCCGCAGCACCAGGTGCGCCCACGCGAGCTCCAGCACGTCCAGGGGCAGCAGGCCGTTTGGCACGCCGAGCGGCCGCAGGAGCGGGTGGGTGAGGCGGAGCGGCGTGAAGAGGAGGAGCGCCATGCACCCCCAGATGGTCACGATCAGGGTCAGCAGCAGCCGCCACACCATGTGCACCTTTGCTGCGAGCGACGGCCGGCTGAGCTGCCTCCGCAGCTTGGGCCGCAGCTCGTCGAGCGCCGCGAGGACCTCGCCTTCGCCGGCGGCCTCCGCGGCATTGCGCAGGCGCGCCAGCTTGACGAACAGATCCTCCCCCTCACCCTCCGTGTGCGGCGCCTCGATGGCGGACTGCAGCGCGGAGAGCTCCGTCATGGCCGCCATAAACGGCCAGGCTCTCGCAAATCAGCCGTCCATTCGCCGAAATAAAAAAATTGCGAACGCCTTCTGAGCTCCCCGGCCCTGGATGTGCGGTTAATGACTGCACTCCAAGTGCTCCAAGTGCACCGCAGAGAGCTAGAAAGAGGTAGACGCCCGAGAGTGGGCGACGGCTAGCACCGCACTTCTCTCCTTAAATCCAACCCCTGCCTAGAGAGATAATAATCATCGGGCGGCGGCGCGGCGCGGCGGCGGGCGGCGCGGAGCGGGGCGGCGCGACCATCTGTCCTGATCGGGGCCTCTGGTCTTACAACAAAACTATTGCTAAATCTCTCTCTCTCTCTCTGGTCTTTGATGCGGAACAACGGTCGCGCCGCCCTCGACTCAAGGGGCTGCCTTCCACCGCGGCTGCTCAGGCCGGGGGAGGGGGGGAGACCTCCTGTTCTCGCGGAACGTGAGCAGGCCCCTCCTTGCCCGGTCTGCGAAGCAGGGCGGTGGTCGTGCCATCTTCACTTCACAACGACCACGCCGCAATCGTCGCCGGCGCGCGACACGTTCCCGTAGGCCGGACTGTCCTGGTCGAGAGTGTGTGCCGCCAAGGCGGGGCTACTCGGGGACAGTGCCGACGGGACGCGGCTCGAGAGACGACTCCCGCGAAAGCACGGCTGGCATCCGTGGCGTGGGGCTCGCCTTCGAAAAGTCGGGCATGGCTCTCCCCGCAACTCTATCGCTAACACGCGCGCACCACCGAGCCTGCGGTGGGCGCGCTGCGGTCGCACGTCTACCTCCGTCATAGTGCCACGACGTGCAGCCTAGAATTAGCACACGCGCCTCTGCTTGCATACACTCATACATTGGATTGTCATCACCTGTGAGTGCGAGATAGGGCTAGCAGTAGGCAGCTAGCCTGTGAGGAGGGCGTCCATAGACACCTCACTAGACCCCACACACGGTCTCGTCCGTGCCTCGCCGGCCGGAGAGATGGCTGGAGGTAGAGCAAGCCTGCTCTAGCCTCGCAAGGTACGGCCTCCTCCTCCTTGCTAACCATCCCAGCTGGTCCCCCCTATAGAACTTCCTACAATCTACCACATGATGATGTGGCTGTCCTCTTCGCTGAGCGCACAGCCACGGTGCCGGCCTTGCCATACGGTCTGCGTGTTCTGCACGTTCCTGGCAGTCGCCGTCGCAGCGCCAAGAGGCACCGCTCGCCAACAGGTTAGCCATACCGAGGCGGGTCCGTACGTGAACGACGCACAACCTCGAGGTTGCAGGTGCAAGCAGCTTGGGTGGCCTCTCCGGCTCGCTCGTGCTTCATCTGCACCTCGTATCCCACCGCCGTCACCACACGTTGCACTTTGTGCAGCGTGGGGTCAGCTCCGCAAGTACAAGTGCTGCCTCCTCTAAGCTGCTGTCGCGATGCCTCGACGCAAGTCGTACCGCTCAGATCTGCAGTCGATATACACTCAGAACATGCTCGGCATCAAGACGGATACCGGCTTGGACGAGCTGATCGGCTACAGCCAGGTTCGCAACGCCTTCGCGGTGTGCGGCCAGGAGACGTGGCGGTGCGGGCGACGAGGAGTTCGTGCGCGACGGCTACACGCTCGTGGGAAGCGCGCCTGCACAACAGCATGGGCGCGGCAGCATGGGCGTGTGCATCGTGCTCTCGCCTCGAGCTGAGGCTGCCCGGCAGCGAGCAGGTGGCAGCACGCCAGTGGCTCGTTCGCCGGACGGCCGCTCCATCGCTGTGCGGCTCGTTGTGCGCGGCGGCTCGCGCGGCAAGCAGTTCTCGCGGATGATGGGCATTCTGCTCGTCAGTGGGTACGCTCCCACGTCTGCGCACTCCGCCGCCGAAATCGACGCGTACTACGAGGGCCTCGCCCAGCTGATCGCTCTGCGGGAACTGCGGCAGCCGGGTGATGTGCTCGTGTTGTGCGCCGACGCCAACGCCAGCATTGGCCGCGGCAGCCTCGGCTGCGACGGCGAGCGCGCAGGCGCAGTTGGCCCGTTCGGGCTGCAGCATCTGAATGACGCGGGGCGTCGGCTACGCTCCTTCATGGAGGTGCACCAGCTGTGCTCCCTCACCTCGTTCTACCGCAAGCAGTACTATGGCACGTGGATCCACCCGTGCTCGCGGCTACCCCATCAGCTCGACCACATCATTGTCTCGCGCGAGGACCGGCGCCGCTTCACAGACTGCGGCTCGTGCCCCTTCCAGCTCGTAAACAGCGATCATCGCGCTGTGGGCTGCCGGATGCAGGTGGTCGCAAGCATTCGTCGCAAGGCGGATCAACGCAGCAAGCTCCTCGGCCGATGCCACTCATCTCTCTACACGGAGGGCGGGCGGCGCGACTATGCGGACGCGGTGGTTCAACGCCTGGCCGCGGATACCGGTGCTGAGGCGTCAGCGTCGTCCTACTCGGCTGTCGCTGCGGCGATGGAGGCAACGGCGCTCGAGGTGCTGCCGAAGAAGGCTAACGCGGGCCATCGTGGCCGCGGTGCAGCCCCGCACGGGTTTAATGCGCGAGATGCGCTCGGGCGACGGAGGAGCCGGAGGCGGGCGGAACTCGGCCGGGGCGAGGCCTGACCGCAGCGTCTCGCGCCAAGAGCTCGTACGAGTGCTCCGCGCGCCAGCTCTCCATGACGGCGGCGATGAAGAAGTCAAACAGCTCGGGCCCGAGCAGGTCACCTTGCTTCTCACCAATGATGGCAAGCAGCGTGGCGAGCACTCCGTCCACGTCGAACTTGACGATCACGTTCTGGTGCATCGCGATGAGCTAGCGTACAAGCTTCGGAGGCACGCCGAACTTGAGCAGCACGCGCCACAGCAGGCCGATCTCGGTGTCGCTCGCCGCCTCCGCCGCTCTCTCCCTCTCCGCTGGCGGCTTCTTCTTCGCGCAGCGAGGCACCTTGTCGAAGGCCTTGACGAGGTCGAGCAGCCAGATCCATGTCTCGAGGCCGTGCTCCCGCCGCTTCCGAATGAGCTGCTTGAGCGCGAACGACGCGTCGGATGTGCCGCGTCCCGAGCGGAAGCCCATCTGCGGCTCGTGGTCGACGTGGTCCCGCGACTCGAGGATGACCTGCAGCCGCATGTGCACGATGTTGGCGACGATCTTGTACGCCACCTCGAGCAGCATGATGCCCCTGTAGTTGGCGGGGTCGCTCTTGTCGCCCTTCTTGGGCAGAATCTTAAGCAGCCCCGTTTCCCACTCGGTCGGCATCTCCTCGGTCTCCCAGAAGGCCAGCACGATGTTGTGCACGAGCCGGAAGCTCTCGGCAGTCGCGCCTAGCGCCTTCCAGAAGCGAGCTGGCAGCCCAGAGTCGCCGGGCCCAGTGTCGCGCAGCTTGCCGAGCGCGGCCCGCGTCTCCTCCTCCGTCGGTGGATGGT